ATTAGTCACATAATTCTGTGTAACTACAAAGAGGTAGAGAAACATGGGAGAGCACATGAATATTAGAAGTTAAATGTTGCTGTTTCATTCCCCGTGGGCTGGTAAAATATCTTATGATGCATGATCCCCATTTTAGAAGTTAGACCCACTAAAGAAGTTTCTTGGAACAAAGTCAAAGTTAGGGATACTCAGTAAATCAATTATTTCAACTTATAAGGCAACACTTATCATTTAAAAACACATTTTTTTTTGTCTTTCAGGAGTAACAATCCTATATAATAAAAGGCTAATATGCAAATTGACCAAACAGCAAAACGACCAGGTCATTATGATGTGCACTGACCACCAGGAGGCAGATGCTCAATGCCAGAGCTGCCCTCTGGTGGTCAGTGCGATCCCACAGGGGGAGCGTCACTCAGCCAGAAGCCGGGCTCATGGCTGGCGAGCACAGTGGCGGTGGCAGGAACCTCCCCCGCCTCCACGGCAGCGCTAAGGATGTCCAACTGCTGGCTTAGGATATCCCCCGAGGGCTCCCAGACTAAGAGAGGGCACAGACTGGGCTGAGGGATGCCACCCCCCCGAGTGCACAAATTTCGTGCACCGGGTCTCTAGTATATATAGATAAAGTCATTCCCAGGAGTCCATGAGACTGTGGCAGGTTTGTTAGCTTGAAAATAGGGTAAGGTTTCAGAGCGTTAGCTTGAAAATAGGGTGAAGTTTCAGAGCCTTCATAGTTAACAAGAAGTTAAGTAATTTGCCTAAGGTCTAACAGCTAGTGAGTGTCCTATCCAAGATTCAAGCCCAAGCTGTCGGGCTCAGAAACCATACTTTTAAATTCTCTGCTACACTTCAGTAGTCCTCAAAGTGTAGTTCCAAACCTGGCAGCATCACCACCACCTGTGAACATGTTACAAATGCAAATTCCTGGGCATTACCGAAGACTACTGAATCAGAAACTTGGGGGAGAGGAGCAGAGACATCTGTTTTAACAAGGCTTCCAAGAGATTCTGATGCTTACATTCTCTATATGTTCACTGAATCTACAAGATGGAAGGAAATGGTATGGCTATATCCTGGACTGTGAACTGACTTTTCATAACCTGAGTAACAAATTTCAAGCACTAAGGGAGACCAACGGTTCATAAGCCCTTGCATTTCATTTTTAGGAAGGTAAGGATCTTCATCTGGTGCAAATAAACACCACATGTCTGTTTAATAGGTCTGCATAATATTTTCCTTTGGAGTCACAAACATATGTCCAGAATGCTAAATGAAAATACCTCCTTTTTCATTCCCATAATTGATCAGAAAGAATTACTTAGCCAAGGAGAAACACTATTTATATTTTATTTAGAGTCAAGCTGTAATTCCTGAAAAACAGGAAACCACATATCAACACAGCCAGCACAGTGTACCACAGCAGAAAGGGCACCAGGCTTTGAGTCATAGTCAAGTCACTTCTTCAACTCAATTTCCTGATTTTCAAATGGAAAATGAACTCCAACTTCAGAATCACAATTAGACTTAAATGATACGTCTTGTGAGCAGTGGTAAACAGCTTTTGTGCTACGTGAATATACACTCCACCTGCTTGGAGTACTGTCTGGCACATAGAAGATGCTCAGTACTTATGAGGTAACAGGAATAACTATGAGGTATTATATTAATGACTTAACTGATTCCTCTGGGCTCCACTTTTCACAATAATCTCAGTCTTTTAGGAGGAAAAAGTCGCTCTAACAAGAAATCCTTAGTCATGTTTAAAATGGGCCAGATAATTTAAGAAAATCAGCTGATGTCCTTCCCCAGGAGAACACGAGTAAAGGAGTTCTGTCCTAAGGATAAGACAGCAACTGCAATTAGCAACCCTGATGGCCTTGGGGCCTCATGGCTTCAAGTCTGTAACAAAGTGTCCTGCACATATAAATGGTCAGGAATAAAGGATGTGTCCCTACAAAGCACAACATAGTGCACATTTATTTCTGCCCTGTGGTAGAATTTTAGTAATTCAGCAACTATTAAATAAGCTACAACTGTATACAATAGAGAGAAAGACTGCTAAAACAAAAAACAACAACAAAAAAAACCCTCTGCCAATGATATCATTTGGGAATAGAAACCATTGTTGAATTTATAATTTAATGAGGGAAATACAATTTACAATTATTTACAAAGCTTTGTATATTTCTGGTAAATGGAGTTCCTTAATTTATACTGTCTCCAACATACTTTCTCAATCTCCTGAAAAATTAGTTAACGGTCTAGAGTCTTGAAATAGGGAACTTTGGGCTTTTAGCTTTAACAGACATATCTAAGATAAGATAGCAAATAGATTCAAGTTGAAGGCCAGTTTTCAGTGTAGGGGCTTTAACAGTCAGATGAATAGCCCTGTTATGTTGCCATACCTTACGGGACATCTGCAGGGTATATTGCTCCCTGTGTATGATCCAAAATATTTACATGTAAATTAGCTTTACCTTTTAAACAGTGAAAGCATAAATCCATCTCAAGATTTGGAACAGTCTTATCTGAGGTTCTGCTTCCCGGCATATGTCGACAGTTTGGCTCAAATAAATTCACAAAAATTCTTAAAAAAAAAAAAATTTGGAACAGTCAACTAACTTCATAAAGAATTATGCAAATTTCTTTGTGAAAGAGCACAAATTACAGAGTTGAGGATGAAACTTCTTTCACTTTGTAAAACATATTAAAAAGAATTTTTACCCGTCTTTTCAACTCCCAAGGCAATATACATTGCTTTGTAGAGCTCAATTAAAAAAAAAAAAAAAAGTAACTTTTAGTTCAACCAACTTGTTACAAAATTCAGTTAAGCCAGATAGGAAACTGGAGAAGCAGCCAGTTTGATGAAGTCTACGTACTACTGTCTTGTGATGCCAGTGAAACAGTGACTTCTGGTGGCAAAAAAAAAAATACATATTGTGCAGCTGGCAGGAGAAAGAAAGCAGTGCTTAAAATCTGCTGGGCTTTCCTCTTGCCATAAATCCTCTGTCTCTGGATGGTTTTTGAATTCTAAGTTAAACACATTATGATTCTTTGACATTGTATTTGTACAGAATTGAAGAATTAAGGCAAGACAAACGCCAAGGACGCTACAGAAATTCAATTGCTACAGTAAGTGACTAAGACACATTAACTCTGATACGTAACCGTTCACTTTCTTCAGCGGGGGGATCCCCAATATCTAAACTCACTTTTGTCAAAGCCTTGGATTCCGCTCTTCAACACCTTTTTGTCTTAAAGTGACCGAATCTGTCCCAAATCCTTTCCTTGATTCCCACTCTCCTAAATTACTTGAATTCAAAAAGTTTTAAGTACTAGCTATCTACTTTCTTGCTTTCTCTCCTAGTCTCCCTTCATTTTCTTGGGCCATTTATCCCCTAGTTTTCTCTCCATTCCTTTTCCGCATATTTATCTTCAAATATAATACTCTCCGACACTGGCAAGAGACACCTTTAAATTAAAGCAGGCAAACCATCCAGAATTTTCAACTCTCCTGTGAATTTATTCCCAGAATATCCACTCAAGGAATCCTTTCCACTGCAGACGAAAGGCAAGCTAAGGAAATGCATTAGACAGAGGAAGTAAACATTGAAACAGGGCCATGCCTGGGTAGTCTTAAGCCGCTTAGCAGTACTAGTTAGGCTCTCGGGTCCAAAGGTCTCTTTCTTTTTCGTGCTTTCTCTCCCCACTCGGAGTCTGAAACCACGGGGGTCTGGGAGAGCAATCCACCGCCGCCTACCTTCTACCAGCTCTGTAGGCCCTTGCTCTGAAATCACCTGGCACCAGCAAAATCCCCACACCTCTCCGGCACCTCCCTCGCCGGACGGTTCTATGCCTCAATTACAGAGTCCCTCTCACTTTGCAGCTGTCTGGGGGAACACAGACTAAGGTCTTCGCCTTCATTTACGGTTTCGCTTATTTAAGGTTGAAAATCCGTCTGGTGCCTGGATGGTATATCCTATCCTCCGTCTCCCACCTCCAACGGGCGCCAACAGGGTTACAATCACCCCATCCCACCCTTAAAACGCAAAACAAAACACAGGGTCCGCAAGGCCCTCCCTACCGCCTCCTCCGCCCCTGCCCCTCCCCCAGGACACACCTCCACCTCCAAGCCCAGGATCTTCCAGGGACAATTTGCATAACAATATGGGGTGTGGAAACTCCTAGAAGACCCACCGACTAGGAAAGCACCGAGACCCTGCAAGGCCCCTCGCAGCTTCTTTGACTGACATGACGATAAGGGAAAGTACGATTCAGACCACCCTCCAATTCCTCTCCCTTTTAATGCGCCCACCCTAGCGCTCCCGACGTCGCAGGCGACAGTCCCAGAGGATCGCACGCAGGAGAAGATCCGGAGAAATTCATCAGCCCCACGGGCTGCAGGCGCCGCCTCCCTCGTCCGGGGGGCGAGTCGCGGAGACGCCCCCAACTTCTCCCCTCCCTCGCCGCGGGCTGCGGACCACCGACGCGCGCCTCCCCCTCGGCCTCCATCAGCTGAGACTGGAACCGCTCATCTCTCCTAGGCGCCAGGGGGAGGGGTGACAATGCCGGGAAGAGGGGGGGCCTAGGTTGGGGGAGAGAAAAGCCCCGCTTTTACGCCCCGAGAAACTTCTGGGACTCTTCTATTACGCAACCCGGGGACCAGGTTCAAACGACCGAACATCTTTCCGCGAGACGCGGGGCACCCCGGCAGATGCCCGATGGGGGGAGATGGGAGTGGGGGAGGAGGATGGGTCTCTTCCTGTGGCCCCCTCCCGGCTTTTTCTAGACGGTACCTGCCGCTCACTTGCAAGTAAGGGCGGTGCAAGCTCCGCGTCTCCCGAGGTTCCCACCGGAAAAGTGGGAAGGCCAGCGACTTGAGTCAGCGTGCTGGGAAGCCGGCGGCAAGGCGGGGGAGAGCCTGGGCTTCCCAGAAGTCGGCGGCGGCGGTTCGGGGCCAGACTCACACCCCACCCGGGGGCGCGCAGTGCTCCGCTCACCTTCCAGACCTTTCGTTCTTCAGCGTCCGGGTCGTGCGCCCTCGCCGCCTCCGCCCTCCCCTGACCTGTTGCGGTGGGGAAGGGGCGTGGGTGCGCTGAGCGCAGAGCAAGCAGCT